CCCCCCCACCCCCTCATTGGCAGTCAGTTTTTTATAGTCCTCCCTTGATAATCGGTTGGCGACGACTGATCCTCATTGTTCTCCTTCAAAATCCTCCTGCACACCCCTCTCCCCGTTCCCACCCCCGGCTAGGAATGACTGGTCTCTTAAAAGCTAATAACAAGGGAAACAATTAAAAAAACAAACAAAATACGTAAAAATACGTAAACAAGATGACTTGCTCGGAGATTTCGACAAATGACTGAACAAAGCCAGTGACAAATGAGAAAAAAGGAAAATTTACTAAAAACAATTTCAAGAAAAACAAGCAAATAAATAGATAGACAGAGTCGTTTCCGTACCATGTTTGCTTCTTCTATGTTTCCAAAGGATTCCACGTATATATCGGCATCGACAATGGTTTCCTTGGCTTGTTCTGCTGCCACAAAAAGATCAAAACTATTATCCTAAAAGTTTACTTTTTTTATCATTTCCAGAGTTTCTTTCCCGCGTGCTCTTCATAGCCCTAAATTCCCGTAGTGTATACTCTTTATCATAACTAGTGACTTGAGATGAGTCGTTTTTTATCACTTGGATGGGGTCGGAGGATTTTGGTTTTGTCTCAACGAAATTTACCTGACCCCTCTCCCTTAGGTTTTGTAATATTCCTGTGTTCACCCTCATTGGCAGACAAAATCTCAATAGTCCACTTTATATTCTAACTGATCCCTTCTTCGTCCCCCTGAAAACCATGTGATCCATAAAAATCCTTCAAAACTGCCCCCCCCCCGCCCCCCTCCCTCACAGGTGATAAATATTGACTGGTTTAGTGATAGCATTATCTTACCAAAGCCAGGTCGCACTGCGTTGTCGTAATCACTGAAAAAGCTGGTCACTACATCGTCTCCACAATGGATTCTGCAATAAATCAAGTCAAATTTTGTATTGTAGTGTGAGCTTTTCCAGCATGTCATTGTGTCAACAGTGCAGCTAAATCCTTATTGTATATGCTGGTATTGTAATGGTGTGCGCGGCGGTTTAAAGCAAAAACCCAACAACTGCAGCAAAATTTGCACCTAAATATATAAGAGAGAGTTTTTATTAATGAAACAAAAACCAGAAATATTGGCTTCCCGAAATAACTAAACGTTTCAGAGAATTTTCAACATATTTGATAGGAATCGTTTTGGCGATTGGAATTTCTCTATCTTACACTTTGTGATTCGACACAATACACTTTGTTAATCTTCTGTCTGCAGAAGAGCGCGCAATAATACCATCACTTGCTTGGTGCGAGTTGGGGTATTTTACATAAGCCGCAAAGTAGCCGGCGTGGTGCTATAGAAGTGTTTCCGCTTCTAACGCAAACGCTGCGTATTAAAGACAAGCTAGTAACTCTCTTTAAACACAAACTGCGGCTCAGAGGGGTTCAAATGCACCGCCGTTAAAACAGTAAATCGGCGCGATATGTATACGAAGCGGCTGGTGGTAGCCGCCAATTGAGCCGGGCTCAAACGTGTTTAGGTCTGACTGTGAATGAAAAAGCAATGTAACTTACGATCTCACGGAGGCTAGTAGCAGCAAAACCCACAAATTTATCTTTGAATCCATCCATAGTGTTCTCGTTGCTTTCATATTTCTTTGGAAAAGACTCTGGAAAAGAAACGCATTTAAATTACTGACAGAGTTTACCATACAACGAAGAATTGTTGGAAGAGAAGGAAAGTGCATTTTATCAGATGCATGGTTGGGCCAAAAAAAGACATTTAATTTCGTCTTTAGTACAGACGATGACATTGGGTAACCGAAATTTAAGTTTGTTAATTTAATTTTTCGAGTTTACCTAAAGTTTACCTTTCGCTAAAGTAGCGTAATCAAAAGAGACATGTGGACTTTTTAGCTGGACGATATCCGATAACGTTATTGTCTAAAAGCTACACAAATATACCATAGGGATTGTGTTATACTAAATTCGAAATTATAGCTCGGTTTTGATCGCAAACTTACGAACCATAGGGTCCTAGAAACGGACAATTAACAAAGCATAACAGGCTTCTACTGATAGGACACAAGACAAAACACATTGGTGTATTTAAAATAGGAATTACTGTTTTCAGTTTGCGAGTTTACGCATTTAACTTAAGATTTCAAAATGTTCTCGTCCAAAAGCTATACAAATTAACTAAAGAGATTGATTGACCCAAATTTCAAAATGGCGGTTCAGTTCAGTTTGAAGGATTAGAAATTTACAAAAGTTTACGAACTTACAGTTTGAATGATTACAAACTTACAAAACGTGAGGTCACAGGAATGGAAAGTTATGAATCAAGAAAGCATGACTGGTGGAGAAAGAGTTGATTTAGCTTTATCAGATAAGCTAAGTAACGAGTGTTAGCCTTCGTCAGAGCTAATATCAAAAGTTGAACAGCCAATTATAAACTGAATATAACCGTGCGGCTCTGCGATTGGAATTTTAAAGACCAGTTTAGAGAATACTCACCAACTGTGAGAAGGTTATTGGGCAATCCCTTAATTTCTATTAACGGTTTCTGGACTGGTCTAAGCACGTTTGTTGGCGTTTTGCACGTTATCTTATCAAATGATCGCTATTTGCATGAACATCCACGGATGCTCGATTACGATTATCAAGAATTAATTAACATTTGCATTCTTTGTAAAACTACTTTAATGTCCTCTGGGAAAAGTTCCACGTTTTGTGACGACAAGCATTTAGTCTTTGTGTTTGTTCATATAATTGAAAGGGATCGAGAACAAAGCCACGTTCAATAGCGGCAAAGGTCTCTCGGGGTCTTAAAAGCCTATTGAATTTATAAAGATTAGTCGAAACTTGGACAAAATTCTCGAACATGGCTGGCCATCAGCAGCTCAGTTTGAGCCATCATTATGAAAAAGTTCTCGCGTCATGCCTTTGTCTTTGGCCGCGCGCGTCATTTTTAGTGTCAGCTTTATTCTCTTTTACATACTGATTTCAATCTCGTAGATTGAAACTTTGCTCCACTACCATGGAATCCTGGAGATTATGTTCTTGCTAAGCTGATTTCAAAGACCCTTAAAAGCATCTCTTGGCTGTACTTAGAAGAATAGCATTGGGTATAAAACACCAGCAATATGACTGTAGACTAGTAAAATGAAGGCGAAACGTCACTATCCACATTGGAAATGACTACATCGTGTGGGGAAAAACGATTACACCTCATAAAAAGAACACTATCAGTTGTCAGTAGTTTTAAAGTTGAAAAAGTAATAATATCATGAAGGGAAAAGGGCTATAATTCTTAATTTTTTTTCGCATGTACACCCGTTTAAAAAAAAAACGCTCCAATTTGAAAATATATTTACATCCCTTTTCTTTTCTCATCAAGAAAGTGATGCACGATTAATGTATCTTTCACATCAGAGGAGAACTACACCTTTTTTTGAAATTTTTACCGCAGCAATTGTACTCTACTATGAAAAATTGTCCCTTCAATCTATTCTGTCAAAACCTTTTTGATAAGATAAGAATATATTTTAAACAAATATATACATATATATTTGAGATAGGGAAAAAAACAAAGAAACCATACTTTCGTGTCATGTTTGCTCACTCATCAAGTGATTTCATTGTCTCATTGTCAATAATATTCGTAACTATCATTAATGTTGCAGAATTCTCTACAGCGTTAAGGAAAATCTCTGTGGAGCGCTGGTTCGATAATCAATAGGACTGTATCTTTCTGATTTCTTGCTTTTATTTACGATCCATACAATATCCGAACTTTCTACCTTCAAAAGATTTCAAGTCTCAAGTTCTCTGTTACAAGATAACGATTCTATTTATCTGCTACGACAACGGAAATACACGCCTAAACTGCGAAAACCAGGATTGACATTACTTATTCGTGATTTACTAAAAAACCCAAGTTATTTCCTGTCAACTTGATTTTAACAGCTGTTTCCCATTAAACGCCGATCAATACTTCTGTAATTTACACCCGCACGCACGCACTATTTGCTGCACGAATAACACATCACGCAACGTCTCAGGATGTTCCAACCCAAACGTGCACGCACAATTTCCTTAGGCAATTCCTTATCTAATTATTTCTGACCATCATTGATTTTCCATATCACGAATATTCTTACTACAAGTCTGCCATTACCGTGCTAAGTTCAATTGTACATCTAAATCTTAAGTATCCTAACTGTCATAAAAACTCCTAGCTTAATTATTAAACCAAAAAATAAGGTGTCACGCGATACGCCTAAAAGATTATCACGACAGTTAATATACTATACCAATTTGCATGATAGGCATGGCGGTAAAATTTCTATGCTTTGTTCAATTATTACGCAGTAACATTTTGTTTCTGTGGCGGCATAAGTAGTTTTTCTTTGAGGCAGAGGTTGCATCTTTTGCTTGCGCTGTTGAAGGGTGATCTTGATGAAAGGATGCGCCATGAATGAAGTGGTCAACGTCATTTTATTTAAGGATCCAGATATGTTTGTTGAGTTCGGTAGTGTTTCTGTGTTTTGTGTGTTGTAATGATGCGGTGTTGTTTCTGTAGCTAGACTTGAAGTGGTTTTCTGTAAGTCCGATGTATGTTTCAGTAGTGCTGTTATCCTTACGTGTGACGGTTGGTAGATTAGGCTTGGTAGATTAGTGATGATTGGAGGCAGTTTCCGTCAAGTGGGCATGAGTTCTTCTGTCGGTAGTGGCAAGTTTTGGTGTCTTTTGTGTTGCTGTTATCTGCGGTTTCATTGATGCGTTTGGATGAATTTGAAATGTGTTTGTTGTGGTTGTCGATGATCTGTTTAGTGTTATTCATGCAGCTGTAACTGATCTTGATTGAATTACGATTAAAGATTTTTCTAAGTTTGTGTTATTTCGGGAAGTGCTTGTCTACTAAGGCAAGGAATCTGTGCTCGATTGGAGCTGATGTGTCGAGAAAGAAATAGGTGATGCTTAACTTAATTATTTTGTGATTAAATATTAATTAGAAATTGACATTTGTAACGCAAAGAAGTTAGATTTCGTGACATTAGATTTCACAATAATGTAGACAAGGTCTGAGTATATTAACGATATAAAATGATGTAGCTGCGTGCATTTTCTTGGGCTAAATACGGTGAAAGAACGTGCGATTTTGTAATAGTCACTTAATTTAGATACATTATAATGGGAACTTTTATTGTACATGTGATTAATGTAAAAATACTGCCTTACGCAAGGATAGTAGAAAAAAACCTCTGTATACTTAGAATGTGTTAGTTAATCGTTGATCGTTATGTTACGACCGTTTAATATGTGAGAATTTTATATCGCAATAGATTGTTGGTTTAGATTAAATCGTGTTGTTACATCGAAAGATACAGTCCAGTTGATTTGTTTGAACCAGCGAGCGGGGTCATAAGAATGGGGGTTGTACCAGAGTATGTTGTCTTCTGTTTTTTCGTTTGTTAGTTATAGGTGGTTCGTAGTGTAGAGTGTACCGGTATCCGCATTCGTCGAGCGCTTTTTGATATGGAGGGGCGGCTTGGTCGAAGGATGCTTTGTCGCATGAAAGGGATGACAGTCTTCTGTTGATGCCGACGAGTATGTTCTTTATGGTGGTTGGTGGGTAGTTGCTCTCGCGGTGGACGTTATCTAGTGTGGTGTTAGGCTTTGTGAAGGGCTGATAGGTGCTCTCATCAACAAACACAAAATCCCCTGATGAGTAAGTAATCACGAAACAGGCTTGTATGGATGAAAATACAAGTACAGTCTCTTTATTTTTTCCCGATCTCAATATATATCGCGCTCTACTTCTACGTATCGAGCATTGAACAGCGAAAAAAATCAAAATACAGACCTCATATATATATATATATATATATATATTTTTTTTTTTTTTTTTTAATTTATTTTTTTTTCTGGCGCGAAGTGAATTTTTTTTCCTCGCGAATTTTGAAGATGATTAGGCGTAAGTGACTAGCCCGAGTGAGAGTGGAACGAGCGTAAAATGGTCAGCGGTGGCACGCTTCAATAAAGTTTTCATGTAAAGCAGATGTCACATACATCACACGATTAATTTGAACGAAATTGCGTTACAGATTTGACGATGGAGAAGTCCTTAGATTCTCATTTAGATGACATGTGAGTTCCCTATTGTAGTTTTCTCTTACACTATACAAAGATAATCGGAATTTGTGTATTAACTCCGTCTGTTTTTTTCCACCAGAATGTCTGAACATGGCGTTATTGGAGTATTATGTAGCGATCAACAAGGACTTGCTTTATCAGGTTTGTGAAGTTTATTTTCGTATTAAAGCTTAAACAATTCCTGTCAAATGGATAAGCTACATTACGCCCAATAATACTTACTTTAAGCGTTTTATTCCTTTGGGATTCATTGTCACTTTCCTCTGTGCCATTGGTGACCATTATGAAGAAGTTTGACTCTCTACAGATACAGTGTAGATCAAGGGGATAGAGGAACGAGGCTATTGTAGAAATAAGGAGAAGTTAATGACATCTACCCATTTTTGAAAGCTATTAAAAAAATAATTTATTTATTTGACAAGAAAGTGCCTCTTGACAATAATCTTAGTGGTAAGAGAGAAATGTTTTGAAGAAATCCTCCCCCACTCTCTACCCCCACCCCACTTGTAACTTTTTTCAAGACTGTAAATTGCACTCGTCCTGCGGGCATGAGCAATTTTGCCTTCTTAAAAAGTTTAGTAATGGTTTTTAACACCAAATAGCATGTGAAATCATGTTATTTCCTATACTAATGGTATCATTTTAAATGTCAATTATGCAAGGAAGAAGTCCACTACTTCTCTTACTGGACTTGATTCCACAACAATAAACTTCCATGCTCTAACACTTGTATCTATATGGCAAGACTTCTGGTAAGTGCATAAAGCTTGCCCTGCAAAACTTTCACAAAAGATAACCACAAAATGTTTAGTTTACAGTGTAAATGATACATAAAAATCAAAATTTCTAACATCATTTTTTAATTATTTCTTTTAACAGCTAAAGGTACTGCAAATCCCATTCATGCAGGACTCATTTCCTCTTTGGCAGAAGATGCAAAGAAATTAGATCCCAACACGACACCAGTCATCTGTTTAGAGTCAGATGCATGGTAAGTAGCATTCCTGTACAATGTAGTTGTTTAGTGCATATTACCTGGGAAGAAATGATATTAGTGCAAGTCTGAGATGTTAGAAAATAATTTGGTTTTGATCAAATGGGTTGATAATGTAAATTTGCCATCTTAAAGAGTTTCTGAAACTCGCTATTTCAGTGTTAGCCCTTTTTCAGAGGAAAGGAAAAATAAATAATGCAACAAATCTCAGCTTTAGGAACTCTTTAGAGTGGCAGGGACATTTTACATCATCAACGATGCAGCACAATTCTATCTTGGGAAATTTAGCTCCTTTATCCAAGATATTACAGTTATACACCATTGATTGATCAAACACTCAGAGGGTATTAACCCCTAAACTCCTATCAGTGACCAAGACAGAATTACTCCTTACAATATCATTACATTATCAAGCAGGCAAGATATGAGAACAATGGGATTAGAAGTTAATCCAATACTAATTTCTCTGAACTTGCATCAGAAGAATTGAACAGCACACAGTAAATAAGATCTTTGGAGTGAAGGGGTGAATGTATGACAGAAGACAGCACTAGCTATGAATTTTGTTTTGGTGTGGCTGTTGAGCCATATTTCTTGTTCGCTCGGTTCCATGTCAAAACTTTCAACTTTTATTCATTACAAAATCATTATGATTTATACAGAGTGCAGTGCTTGTGCTTATGTTGATTACATAGTTGTGCATGGTGTGTGAGTGCGAAGGTGACAATTACATAGTGTAACAATTTCATGCACGAGTTTCTTTTTCCTTTCATGTATGAAAGGAGGTTCACAGAGAGCACTGCTAGGAAAGTAGATGTACCTTCATGGAACACAAGAAAAAAAAAACAGATAGAGATGGGCACCATTCAATTTAGACCTTACATGCTAAAACATTATTAACACTTGAGAATACACTAAAACCCCTTGGTAGGTTTTTTGCACTATCCTTAGCATCTTCCTCTCCTATGGTTGCTTTTAACCTTTTAACTCCCAAGATCTCATTAGCAATTCTCCTAGCTGTCTGCCTTACAGTTCTTGTGATTTTAGTTCAAAGAATTTGGTATTGGATCAATTTATAATTTCCTAATTGATATTTTTGTTTATTCTCATCACTTGTCTGCTTGATATTGTATTGATATTGTAAGGAGAAATTCTGGGTTAAACAAAGAACTTCACTAATTCTCCTTGCCCTCTGCTGTACAGTCCTTGCAATGTTAGTCTTGAGAATTTGATGTTAAATCAAAAGAATACAATATCCCTTTGTATTTACTTTTTATTACCTGTTTGCAAGAAACAGTACATAGATGTTGAGAGCAGAAACCATGCAATGGTCACTCCAGCAATATATTGGGATTGATGCTTACAGTGTTTAACCCCCTAAAGCCTAAGGAGTGATCAGCATTGAATTCTCCTCACAATATCAGAATTCAGTCACAAATAAATGTCTCAAGAATGAAAGGACTGATCAACAAAAATTGATTGTCCTCACTTCCAACAAATGTTTACAACTGTTACCACAAGAGAAAGTATGGGCACCAGTCAAGAGAATTTTGCATTTTCATTCCCTCTTTTTTTCAGTAATCTTCTTGTGAGATCAGAAGGAGATGTCACAGTTGCCATTCATAAAGTTCCTTCATAAACAAAGAAGAATTTGAATTTGGAGTTTTCTTTCCCAAAAAGATTATTGGTAACTGCATTTTTAATTGATTGTAAAGAAAAAATAATTTATTTTTGAATAAATGTTTGCAAATTTTGATCTGTTTTCAATGGAAAGAATGCAGGCTGAGTTGGATGACATGTTTTCCACCAAGTTTTATTTTTGTTGTTGTTTCATTGATTGTAAATTTCCTTGGGTTTGCAGGGGAGGGGAGAGGGTATATTTGCGAGAAACTAGTAGTCTCAGAGAAACATACTTTTGGCAATTTCTTGGGGACTGAAGGGAGGGGCCTGGCAGGCTGTCTATGTTTCAAATTTATCAATATCTTTTTCAAGAAGGAGTGGGGTGGTTTGCAACCACTTGGAGACTTTCCCCCTACCAATTAGTCACAACTTTTGTTTACAAATTCTTCCTTAAATGTTAACATAAACACCAAGATCAGACATTGCCTGGCCCTAATCATCATTTAACTGGACACACCCACTTAACTCATATTTGCAAGGCTCGATAAGATTACTGCACAGCCCTGTACCTCATTTTACGCACAGTTCTTGGATAAAGAAAAACAAAGGCTACAGCTTTGTTTTAGAATAGTATTTATGGGACTTTAGGGAAATATTTCACGTGGCACTCGCTCTGAAGCTATTTTAAGCTATTCAAGTTCCTTTAATTTTTTATAACCCATTATTTTTCATCCAGTTATCAATCTTTTTCCACGGACAGCTGTATCTCGACGCTCATCACGGCTGGTCGTGTGATCAGTAATTTTTAACCCTGGTACTCATGACGCGCGGATCTACCTGGAAAGGAAAATAACAGAATAGAAGCGATTTCTATTTATATCTATTTTCTTTCAATAAATAACTGCACTTTCTCTTTGCTTTTGCTCGTTCCCCTCATAGTGCACTAACGGTATCCGGACAACTCGCCCCCTGGACAATTAGCCCCAGACGATTAGCCCCCAGTATTTGGACGATTAGCCCCCAGTCTCTGGATTATTAGCCCCCAACCCACCAACCTTGAAATAAATTATGTTCTTGCCCTTTACTTTTTACGAACGTTTCCCTATCATATATTATGAAATAAACAATGTTCTTGTTATTTGCTTTTTACGAACATTTCTCTGCCATGCGTGTTAAATTATAAAGTAAACTACGTTCTTGCTGTCTTGTTGTTTGCTTGTTATGAACGTTTCTCTGCCGTGCGTATCGAATTATAAAGTGAACTATGTTCTTTCTGTTTATATATTCTACAAAAATGAACTGTGTTCTTTCTGTTTACATACTTTACGAATGTTTCTCCGTCATGTTGTTTAAATAGGAAAGGAAAGAAACCAGGGACGAAACTTTGAAACTTTAACTTATTGGCGACTACTTGTTAATGTCAATCGGTGTTTATTTAAATGTTAATAAAGATAGACATTCACAAAAAAAAAGGGCTCCTTTAGGAGCCACAAACTCATAAAAGTCAATGACCAACAGATGAACGTAACTTCTCCTTTACATAAACTAAGACTGGGGGCTAATTGTCCAAAGACTGGGGGCTAATTGTCCAAAGACTGGGGGCTAATCGTCTGGGGCTAATTGTCCAGGGGGCGAGTTGTCTGACATTCGCACTAACAGTGCGCTTGGTTCACTTCGCTATCCTTAACATTAAACTTTTCTTTCATAGGAAGAGTAAAAGGCGTTAATTTTATGAAGCTTTACCCTTAAAGGGAAAGTAACAGTGCTGCGTCTTCCCTTTTGCATTTTCTCTAATTCAGCCCCTCTATGAAACAGTAATAACGTGTGTTCTTCATTTAGGGCCGGTTGTTTACACAAGGTGTTACCCAAACCGCAGTTTTACGCAAGAAGTGGCCTCAGTGGTTCTCAACGAGGGTTGAATTAATCAAATAAATGACCCTCTATCAGATATATGTTCAAATAAAAGGTTCGGCTAAATTGGAGATGGCTTAGAACGCAGTTTTGTTAAACAACGGCTTAAACTTTGTTTAAATTACCGGCCCTTAAAGTTTTACTCGCTTATTGATACAAAGTCGCGAGAACTGCATCACTACATTTTTCTTTCAATATACTCCAAAATTTTAATGTTATCGAACTCTTTCGAGAAGATCCAAACGTTGTGGTCAATTTTTTTTTCTGTAATGGTTTCTTGTTATCACGTGCGCTTTCGTCCGCACACATTCCCTTTCTTCCCTGTTGTAGTTGAATAGCGATTCACTTGCTGGGCGTGCATAATAAAATCCCGGGCTCAATCTGTGACGTATTGTTCGCTGGGATTGTTAATCAATATTCATTAGAAACTGCAGAATTTTCAGCAAACCACGCTGTAGACAAGAGAATGAATACGTGTCGTTTTTGGGACAGTAAAGTTACACACTGGGCGAAGGTTGAAGACGCTTGACCAGCAACGAAGTTCAACCGAGGTAGTCCTAAGTTATTATAACAGAAGGTGAGCATTCCTTTGGAAAATATTGTCGTTGAATTCCTTCTGAGAAAGATGAACGACTTAAATCATATTAAGGAAACTAGTCAACACGTGTCTGTTGGCTAAGCTGAGAGGATGGACTCGAAGTTTATTTTGAGTAAGAGAGTCAGCCTCTACAGAAGCGAACTTATGGTCGTAAGAAAGTGAGAGGAATTTTTATCTTTCGGTCGGACTTTCATTATTTAGGACCTCACTTGTACTTGAATTGAACGCTTACATGTAAATTTTTCAATAATTATCAGAGACCAAGGCCTGTCTCTAACACTACTAAATATTAATTTCAAACTCTCAGAACTGCGTGTTGTTCTGAATAGAATTATGTAATCTAATCTTTCGCTCTGACGAAGGGCTAACGCTCGAGACGTCACCTTTGAAACTGTTTACGGTGGCCAATTTACGAGTTATAATACTAACTTACCCTGTTATATTCTCCCACCAACGCAGCACCACTGTTTATTTAGAAACTAACCCCCTTTAATTAATCTAGAATTCGTATAGATTAAAGGCAGCAAACAACATCCAACCGCTTTACTAATTTGAGTTTTTTCAGGAAGAGGAATGCTGTCAGAAAAATGAGGGAAGGAGAGAATGTCCATTTGGTGAGCGGTAGGAAAGGACAATGAATCTATGTGGCAAAGAGGAGACACTAGGATCACTAAGCTTAAAGAGAATACCACAAAGATAAGAACTTTGATATTCTAATAATAGTCACACCTCTGAACCTTTATCGTCAGAACACTTCAGGGTAAAATTTCCGCACAGCCCCATACTACATTATGCATTCAGTTCTTGAATAGAGAAAACAATGACAAAAACAATACATTCACATTGGGAAAACAGATTTGTTTTACAATAGTATGGGGCTGTGCGGAAACTTTACCCACTTCAGTTCTAACCAATTGCCTGTTTTGAGTTATCTGGGACACTGAACTTGGGAAAAGAACCTATTGATCGTTAACGACTCGCCATCATTTCTGAAGTGGTTTATTGCTTGGTACAGATTTTTTTCAAACTTTGAGCGATTTTAAGATCTATTTCGATTGCTAGCCACTGGAAGCTTCAACCAACCTCAGAACATTTCGTCAGAGCACATTAACAAAGTCAACCTTGTGGTACCAATTGACTTTAGCTACAGAAAAGTAAACAAAATTTATTGATTTCATGGCTCATGTCATGTTTGCATAACAGTTTGTACCACAGTCATATTCAGTTGATGTCGCAAAAGGGTGATAATTGTTAAGGTGGCACTGTAACAAAAGACGTCAGAAACGAGAACAAATTGAATTCCAGGGTTCAGATCTTGATACCAATGGAATTGATCTTACAAATTTTGTTAATATCTAACATTGACTGGGACCAAGCTTTAAAGTGTAGCGTACAGCACTGACTATTTTCCACGAATAACGTTGTAAGGCTGGTTTATTAACCCTTTTACTCCCAAGAATGACCACGACAGAAATTCTCTCTTTCGATAATCGATGTCATATCAAGCAGACAAGTGGTGAGGATAGAGAAAAATGTAAAAAAGGAGATTATTAGATGATCCATCGTTGCCAAGTTCTCCGAACTAAGATCTCACCAATTGTTTGACAGACAGTATGGAGATCTTGGGAGTGTAAGGGTAAAACTTAGAACAGACGTTTCTTAACAGATGACAATACCTACTAGCCCTTATAGTCTTTACGACTTCAACATTACCAACAGACAAGATAGGAAAATATAATTTCAAAGAATGATCTAGACTAATTTCATTAAAATTTTAGCCCTACAATTAAGCAATTTATCATGTTTGAGGTTAAACGCCAGTACAGTGCCATCTTATGAGAAATGTATTCACTACTTTTCCCATCTCCTGAGGTTGGTGTCAGTTTGGAAGCCTTATCTTTAAAACTCTAATGCCTGGTCAAGAGGTTTTTTTAAAAAAAAAAATATTTATTTGAAATATACTGTTGTATAAACCAGCTGATAAGGTAGAATCTAAGAGATAACTATCTTCCGTGAGGTTTCACTGCCTAAAAATGAAAACGGGTAAATCAAGTCGCTCTCGTGAAAAGGAGTTACTTTTTACTCCAAAATGATTGATTTGTTATCCTCTTGACCATACATTGAGTTTTAAAAATATATCGTAGCGGTTAACCTTTTAAACCCCTAAGAGTGACTGGCATCAAATTTCTCCTTACCATATCACCCCTAAATCAAACATTAAGGTACTGATCAACAACTCAAGAAGCTCTTGATTGTCAGACAAATTCTCCTTGTCGGCACCTCAGGAAATGTTCAGAGAACTATGGAGAATATGCATACTGATATTAGGGTGTAAAGGGTTAATATATTTACTCCATATGGTAGTTGGCTGACATCATATCAAACTTTGCTTATTGTTATGGTTGGGATTTTTTAATACAATGGGCCTTTTGTTATCCATCCTTAGGGACTTTTCTATTTAGTATCACGAGCTTTTACTCGGCTTGATTCGGATTCATTCGGCAAATTGTCGGCGATGACATTTTTCCCCAGCGGTAGTCTACTTGGGAAAATTTGAACAGACTAACAGGGGTTAGTCAGTAATTGTCCAGGGTAACAATTGTCATACAGTGTTTGAAACGAGCGGACCGTTAATGTATTTTCTCTTGAAGTAACTTCCTCTGACTTCTTCAGAAGCAAGATAAGCCGTCAGTATAAAATAAATTGGAATTCAACCGCTTGTGACATAATAGTTTGTTTTCAGTTCATGTTTTCACGGCAAGGGGCCGCGAGTAGCTTGGAGTGATTGAAAATGCAGTCTAGAGCTTATAAGCCAGGACAGGACGCAGTTAAGCTGTGTTCGCTCGATATTTGTTTTCCTTAAGGCCCGTTTACGCAGGCAGGCCTTAAGGACTGATCGCAGAAGTCTAAATTGTATTCTGCTGAAAATTTCTTCTCGCGTTGTCAATGTTCAACCACTGGCGCGATGAGTATAAAAGAGTATGCAAGCCAAGAAAACAAAAAGGTGTTATTTTCGCACCTTTTTACGTTTGACTGATTTCACTTTTTCCGCTTGAAGTGCGCAGAAACAGCAAACGCAGACAGAAAGGCAAGGTAAAAGGACTTGAGCGGCAGATTGGCTGATGCAGTATGGAAGATGAGATAGGAATATAAACAGTAGCGTCAGGGTTGAGCAGTTTATGGCGATTAGCGGTTTAAATTTATAGAGTTTCATTTTCGCTTGGTCAATGACGGGTGTTGCGTAGTTGGCCGGCAGCACACTCTGGCACATTTTTTTTGTTGGGACTTCTGTTTGGAAGGCTCCATACAGCAAGCCAAAAGAAAAAGCGAACAAAATACCAACCGACATTATTGCGTTGTCAATGAGGAACTCACTATCGACTTCAATGCCACAAATTCTGGTTATATTAAAAAAGGCGTTCCCTTGTAGCACCTTAATAAACCAGTAAAAAACTGAAAGCTCCAACAGAGAAACAAGGATACAAGTAAACCATTCATTCAATCTTCGTCAGCCTTTGTGCATTTTGTAATTAAGCGATAAAAATGGGCGGCTGGTTGGTATCATCTCAGTTTTATAGCTTTATACGCTATGCTTCTTTAAAAAATGACTTAAATTTAAGTTTAAATTTACTTCGTGCATGGCTTAATAATTATTTAACTAATTGCGCCTGTATCGACGAAAACGATATACGAAAACAGAACTGTTGTCGATTGGCAAGAGGACAAGTTAAATAAATTATAGTTAATAATAAAGTTCAGGATCAAGGCAATTAATCCACAAAATTTTCATAATGTTGATAGGTGACAGGCATTTTTTTTAAAATTTACAGAAGTGTTGCCCAGTGGCCAGGACGAGGTGAGAAGAGAGGAAGTGAATGAGGAGGAAGAGGGAGGGATTGAGTACTGGAGTGAAGAGGAGTGGGGAGAAGAATGGGAGCAGTGAAAATTTTTAACGGAAGATGATGAGAAGGACCAAGAGTATGAGGAAGATGAAGAGGATGATGATGATGAGGAGGAGGAGGAGGAGGAAGAGGAGCAGGACCAGGAGGAGGACATGGGAGAAGGAGGTGCCAGTGTTGCTACGGATCTGTGCGTGGTCTGCGTTACCAGACCACGCAATGCGAGCATTATTCATGGTGACACAGGACATCAAGTTTGTTGCCTTGAATGTGCTTCAAGGTTAAAAACTGAAACAAAAAAAGATGTCCTGTGTGCCGCAAAAAAATCAAACTTGTTGTAAAAAAATTTTTTTAGTTAATTGTTGCAGCCTGAACAAATGTACCGTATTTACTCGAATAATCGCCGCAGCGCTTATTAAATTTTTTGCACCTCGAGTGCAGTGCTTAATCGGAGGCAGCGTTTATTTAAAAATTGGAAGCTACAAAGAAATCTTGTCTTTCAATTTAACGATATATCTTCTATCTGTACAAAAAGTTATAGTAATAGAAGCGTCTTTCCATTATCACCATTCAGCTCCGTTTAAGTTATGCGGAATTCCTTGAATAAGTGCCACATCGGGTAAGCGGCGCTAGAAAACATCCATACCTCCCCATGGAAGGTTTTTTGTATTAACCCTTCCCCCCCCTTCCTGGGCTAGTATGAATATTTTCTGGAACCACAAATATCGGATAATCAACTCAATATTTCTTGTGGAATATTATTTAATTTGGATTACTAACAAAGATAATATAACAGGGATTAAATTAGCATTGTGTGGTAATTACTTTTACAAATTTGTGTTTTGAAAAGTTCTGTCAGGAAAACTTCAGCCGTCTTGTTCTTCGTGGTGATTGTAAACGTGAACGCTTCCTATCTGGCTGTCGGGGGCTTCTTCCTCATCTGAGCTTTCTGGATTGGCTGGTAGTTTAGACTTTACATAGCTTCTCCGTTTTCTTTTAAGGTTGTTGCACCTGGCAAACATCAGCCTGTTTTCTTGTTCCATTACCTATCAGAAAAGATAATTATTTTTAATAAAAAATGCAGCAGCTTATCAAGTTATTTATCCCTAGTAATTTGTGAGGGTAATCAGACTGAGTCATGTACAATTTTAAAGTTAGGTATAAATAGATAGTTTTTTTCGGCTAGGAGGACATCCAATACCTCTTTGATGGGGAAAAAAATGTCAAAGTTTATTTGTTTAAAAATGAAGAATTTTGATATGGATAGATAAGGTTAACTGCTTTTTAGCAACAGATGCTGCTTCAATTAATTATATTTGTTTATGTATATCAATAATTTTATGTTTTTAATAGTGGTGCCTACCTGAACAGTGTATTTTGAATTTTTTCCCCCTTTCTGGGATCCACGGTGGAATGCCTGGGATTGCTAGTGGTTTTTTTTCTCCATCGGCTGGCAATTAAACTGCATTAACGTGCCATACTTTTCCAAAAACTGAGGTACATGGTATACAAATGCTAAAAAAAGAAAATAATATTAAATTTATTTATTTTTATACCACAAAGTTACTAAGAAAAGCTTCCTGCTTATATAAGTTAACGTACTGTGAATGTAGGGGGTGATGTCGTCATCATAGAACATTTCCAGAAAGAGCTTTCCTCACTCCCGCACATGTGTCTTGAAGCTCTGAGGCTTGAGGTACTCTGGATCATTCTCTTGAACCTGTA